TCTATAGGCTTAGGACTCAACATGAGAGGGTTTATAAAATAGGATAACTTTCTTTCAAGTATCATAGAATCTATAGTGACATTTATCGGAAGAACATGCGAGTTTAGGTCGTGTCTTAAGGGTAAAAGAGGTTTTAGCTTTACATACCTTAATTCGGGACTTACTATCTTACGTCGTCAAACTCCTTTGCTGACAACTTTATCTATAACATAAAATCATAAAAGGATAGTATAAGAAACTAATCAAGAGTCACAACAATGCCAAAAACACAATAATGGTTCGCGAGCGACAATCTCAACACTTACCATAGATGAGTGGTGTATCACCACACCCTTCTCTTTCTCTACTTTCCAAGTAGGCTTATGACTTATTTACATGTTCAGTATTACTCCTCATCCTTAAAGTATAAAGAACCAGCCCCCTTAATCATCCACACTTAACATAAAAGTAAAACTCATGGCCTCCGATCACCATCCCACCGGTTCCTTGTTAACGATGTCAAATTCCTTTATAAGCTCATAGTTTAAGTTGGTATAGAACTAATGCCATAAATTAAAATAATAGGAGCTCATATAACCAACTACAACATATTCTTAGCGACTTAGGAATTTCATCAAATACTTGGTGAGCGACAAAGTTTCAAGAACTATAATAGTCTCGTTTTCTATACCTCGCCTTCCGTTTTAATGTAACCTGCTTTCTTCCCCAATACAATACCATTGACCCCTCATTTGGTCAAAACAACAGCCAACACAACCTTTGACAAACTCCCTCCTCACCAAAACATCAAATACAATGGGTAAAACATGGACTTACGACTTCCTATCACCGTCCCGTGATTCTTACCCGCAAATTATACTTAAAGCATCCTTGGAATACTATTTATGAAGATAGAAGAGGATTCATACCTATATATCAAAGAAAAACAGCCCCTGCCCTTCTTTATTCTCCAAGAACAATACTTTTTCCTTCAAGAAAATGTTTAGCTAAGTATATCTATAGGTCTGTGGAGAGGAAGACACTTGATTCTTGAAGAAACCAACTTACCTTAAGCTTTGGTGGATTGAAGATGAGAAAAACTTGAAGAAATAACTTGAAACCAGTGCTTACACATTCTTGAGTATATGAGAAAGTATATCCCAAACTTCTAATATAAAAACAACAAGTTTGGCCGACTTTCTCTAAAGTGCCACATGTCCCACAGTGATTGGGCAGTGCGTGCGTCTGCCGTAGGATGAACATAACTTTTTTCTCCGATATTATTTTAACGAGCGGTTTATTTTGCTGAAAACTAGACTCAAATACCTTCAATTGGATAGGTTGTAGGCCCTCTAACTCGTTATATATTAGGAGATATGCTCGTTCAAAGTCGGATGAGAAATGAGATCATTTGTAGTATTCATCCACAATGAACCTTTAAACTTTAATCTTTTCTTTAATGATCTCTTTGACCTAAAACTTTTGTTTAACCCTTCAAATGACTAAATATAAGGGTTACATAGTATGCTTAACCATTTTCAATGATATACCTTCCCCGATATCACATCTATGCATTGGTGTTTACGAGTCGCAAATGTATTTTAAGTTACGAGATATTACACTACGGTCCGTAGGTGGCACCCATCGATGGCACCTGCAACTTCTGAAAAATCTGTTGTTTGGTCTTTCTAGAATATGGGGTGTTACATTTACATCACAAGAAACAAGTATATCATCATTAGCAATAACAACAACACGATTTTCATTGTCACCTTGTTTCTTTTGTTGTCTCATATATCTCTTGTACCTAAAATAATATTTCTTGATATGCCCATTCTTTTGGCAATAGTCACATGTTACATTCTTGTATTTAGACTTTGACTTACCTCTACTTTTATCTCTGTCATTCTGAACTTGTTTCTCCCCTGTCTTCAATGACCAAAACATTGGAGTGTGAAGTTGAAGAAGATAACGTCTGAGATCTTATTCACTTCTCTAATTCATTCAAGACACCACTCTTAGCATATTACATAGTTACAACACCACTAGGAGCATAATTAGTCAAATAAACTCGAAGAGTTTTCCAAGAGTTTGACAGAGTATTAAGAAGCCAAAATCCCTATATCTCTTCATCGAACTTTACATTCATTCCGGATAGCTGGTCAAGAACACCCTGAAAATCATTAATATGATCAGAAATAGGAGTGCTCTCTTTATACATTATATTTATCAATTGTTTTAATTAGAAACAACTTATTGTTGCCAGTCTTCGAAGCATAAAGTGTCTCGAGCTTGTTCCACAAACTTCTGGCATGTGTCTCATTCACAATGTGATTTGTAATATTATCTTCAACCCATTGTCTAATATAGACACAACCCTGCATGTGCTCAAATTCCCATTCCTCATCCGTCATGGACGGTAGTTTATTAGAAGTAAACACAGGTAAATGCATTTTCTTGACAAATAGAAGATATTTCATCTTGCATCTCCAAGTATGAAAGTTAATATCATTCAAACAAACCATTCTGCTCATATTTTCCTCCATCATTCAAATCAATAATCAACAATAACCAATGCTCTGATACCACTTTGTTGGAAAAGGCAATTAAGACACTAACAAAGAATGTCCGATAGGATAACAACGGAATAATACCCAAGTCTAAACTTTTCCTTTCAATTTGAATCAAGAGAAGATAAACTAAATCAAGAAATACGAAGAATGGATAACAAGTATATCAACCAAACAAAAATAACAAGACAAGAATAAACCAATCACACAAGACACAAAGATTTACATAGAAAACCTTTGATGTGAAGGGTAAAAAACCACAGGACTAAAAGCTCAACTATAAACACCAAGAGTTACAATATTGTTCTCAAAAGTTGGCCACAAAACAAGTGCCAAACAACGAAACGAGATTGCACCAAAATTGGAGAATTAAAGGAGAGAATTCACTTAAAAATGAGCTATTGTTCATGCCCCAAAATCAGAAGCTACAGACAACTAAATCCGATCTTTACCATTGAATTATAAGAACCAGATGCTTAAAACTCCCAGTTCAAATTTGAGCACGATCCAACGATTAACGAAACAGAAAACTCTTTTCAAAGCTGACTGCCTAAGTAAAAAAATTCCTGAAGCAAAAACGAGATTTTTCTCTTTTTTCTCTCAATCTCTAAAATGCTCTCTCTTGATTTTTCTCTCTTGTGTATCTGAAAATATGACCTAAATAAGTCTTATATATGCCACATAATATTGGACTTATGGGCTAAAGTGGGCTGATCCAAAATGTCAATATTTTAGCATTTAATAGGACTTCTTAGTTGTATTTTCAATATTTATTAAAAGTGTCAATATTTTAGTTTGTTATATATCTTATTTATGTATTTTTTAATTTTTTTAATTTGAAAGAATACATTTATTTAATAATAGAAAGGAGAAAATCAGGAGAGTGAATATTTCAAAAAAGGTAAATATCACTTATTTTTCTCATTAGTTACATTTTCAAGGAAAACTTAAACTAAAATGTGCACCTTTCTCACAATGTATAATGAAATTTGTATTTCTTTATTAGTCAGTATTCATTCAAATAGGTATGCCAGATGAATCTGTACTTATTTAAGAAGCATATTTGTATTCATGTATTTTTTTACGGTGTATTTATTTTTTTCTTCAAAATCTTATATCATTTCTTAAGTCATAATCATTTCAATATGTATATTATTTGTATTTGTATTCATTTTAGTTTTTATGTTGTATTTTGTATAATGATATATAAAATACAAAAATAATATTATGATGGATAAGTGAGAATGAAATATAAAACTGAAAAGGAATAAGTGAATATTTGTTGCAATCACGTATAAATAAAATACATAACTAATTTGCATACCTTTGGAATGAATACAAATTAGGAACAAATAGAAGATTCATAAAACTATGCAACATGAGATTTTGAATGAATACAAATATTAATAACCTACATATTGGTTAGAATACAAATTGAGAAGGATACAAAATTCTGAAAAAAACTAAAAAAACAAAACAAACTAATATGAAGTTGCTCTTCGTATAAATAAAATACATAACTAGTTAGCATACCTTTGGGATTATTACAAATTAGGAACAAATACAAGATTCATAAACTATGCAACATGAGATTTTGAATGAATACAAATATTAATAACATACTGGTTTGAATACAAATTGAAAAAAGATACAAAATTTTGAAAAAAATTATAAATACAAAACAAACTAATAGGAAATTGTTCTTCTCCAACTTGGTCTTCAACAAAATGTCCATCCACTATTTGATCTTCATCATCCATTTCGACTTCCCCACTGGTAGATGAAGAGTCTATAGTTCTGTTTTGTACTTGAGGAAGATTTATCTTTTGAATGAATTTTGAGATTTCTTTAAAAAGTGGATGAATTTTGAAGAGATAAAATTTTTAAACATGAAAATGAGATAAAAATAGTGAAAACGTGACAAAGAGAAAGGAGAGTTTTGGGGCAAAAACCTAGAGAGAGAAAATTGGGTAGTAGGGTCTTTTTTTTCCTTTTAACCGGGTAGTGGAGTCAAATGGGGTAAATATATGCCTAATTTGAGAAATAAAAGAAAAGTAAATTAATTATATTTGCTAAATTATTGACATATTGACATTTTTAATAATTATTTTAAAGTGTAGATATTTTTAATAATTACGTTACCAATTTTGACTAATTTGCTAATTTTCTCTTTTATTTATCCACATAGGAAGGGAAAAAAGATCATAAACCCAACGTTAAGGACTCTATATCAAACGGTATAAATATAATATATTAATTTACTGTGAAATTATCGACTAATCCATTAAAAAAATATCTCAAACCGTTAAGAACAAATATTTTAATGATAAAAAAATTCAAATCTTTACCGAAATCATTAAATCAACAAGTCATTACTGATAAACCAATAACTTATTTGAACAACCCTACCATTAAGAATTGCCCGGCGTGCCCCAATTGCTATTCATATGGACTCAAGTCTTGTATCCGACCCGTGCCGTCTCTAATATCAGTCCACTTCAGTCCTCCTCTTTCTCGAATTCAGACATTGGCACCGTCGTAATCGGAGGATACCAGAGTAAAAAACGATCGAAACAGCCGACGAAGATGGAGGAAGATCATGGAAACAGCAACAGTAGTATAACAGTGGATACAACAAAATGGGACAGATCAGTGTGGTTAATGAAGTGTCCTTTAGTTGTCTCCAAATCATGGCAGTCTCAAGCCGCAGCTTCATCTTCCTCCTCAGATTCCCCGCAAGTTGCTAAAGTTATTGTCTCTGTTGATCCTCTTCGCTCCGATGACTCATCTGCTCTACAAGTAAAACTTTCTTTTACCTCTCCTAAAATTTTCCAACCTCAGAAAAACAAAACAAATTCAGTTTCCATAACAGATCCTTTTGGTAGTTATGTGTTATTAGTGTATTTTTTTAGAATTCGGACATTAATTTCTTTAATTTTTCTGAAACAAACATCTGAAAGTTTTCGAGGGTTTATCTGATATGTATTCATTGATCTGGAATTGAGTTTCCTCTTCTTTTTCTTGTCTCTTATAACTATCAAGAGCAAATAGTTGGAGCTTAATTCATATTTGTGCTTTCAGTTGTGTTTGTTTCTTCATTGTTTTTAGGGAGGTTTAACCATTACACAATAAACTTGTATCTTATAGTGCCAATTCGTGTGGAACATGATCCTGCATCTCAGGTCTTAAAGTCGGTCAATGTACCTCTTAGATGAATATCAGGTTCCCTACAAACGATTCACATCTTTTAATTCCTTTTAAATGGGTTTTTATGCATATCTAGAGTTTTAGTATGAGGCAGTCCTTGGCACTCTTAATGTAGACACATTTCTATATGTAGTTGCTTAGATTTTCTGTGTAGATATATAGAGTCTGACACTGAAATCATACCTCTTTTACATGTATGTAGTCTGAGTTCCAGACAGTGGGTCCCTGTGCACCCATTGCTTCTTCACTGTTTATCTAAACACCCCTCAACAAAGCTCCACCCCCCCCCTCCCTCTTTACCCTTTTGAAATCTTTATGATATACAGTTCACTATGGAGATGGGTGGAAATGATGTTGGGAATATGCCGAAAAGTTACTCCTTGAACATGTTCCAAGACTTCGTCCCAATGTGTGTGCTCTCAGAGACAGGTCAAGGTAAGCATCTTGGGTCTATTACTAACATGTTATGAAGTCGTGAGAAGGTTTAGTGAAGATTCCTATTGTTCTTAGCTACGATTTGTATTGTTTCTTAGCGAGTTAATCAAGTTGAGTGTTTCCATTTTTTCCCCCAGATGTTATTAAGTTTATCTACCCCTAGTAAACTCCCATGTTGTGGGATTGCATTGGGTATGCTTTTAGCTGAAGGACCTGTATGAGTTCTTCGATTAGTCTCCTCCATCTGTCCTATCAAGTTCAGTTGGAGATTTTAATCATCTATTTGCTAGCAATTGGTTTGGGTACTGATATCAGGATTCTATTTGTTTGTTGGGTTATCCAAAAAACCCACATCATATATAAAAAGGCATCCAGAGGGAACTGTAAAATTATCGAGCTACTCCACCCATTGCTTTAAGATTTTTACATTGGATGCTTGCATTCCTTTATGTCATATCGGAGTCGACCTTTTATAGTTCTCAAACATTGGGCTATAGAGTCATTTATTCCTGCAATATAATCGAAACAATTTGAAAACTGTCCAATCACGTATTTTGCATAATATACTTTATTTGCTTGATGACAGTGTTTTTTCTTTCCTTAAATTATCAATATCATAGTATTGAGGAATTGGTTGTTTTTTGTTTAGAACTTTTCCAACTGACAAAGCATTTCAGTTTGCTTTACCTAATTCATTGTCTCACCCTCTCCTCTCCTAATTGTTGTTCTTTCTGAAGGAAGAGTTACCATGGAAGGAAAGGTTGAACATAAGTTTGATATGACACCTCACACTCGTAACATGGAGGAGTACAGGAAAATGTGTCGTGAAAGGACAAATAAGTCAATGATCAAGAACAGACAAATACAGGCATGTTTCCTATCATTTGATTGCTTTTCTGATAAATCAATTCTGTCGTTCAGTGCTTTGATTAAATCTACTGCAAAATCAGGTCATTGACAATGATCGTGGAGTCAATATGAGGCCCATGCCTGGGATGATTGGCATGATTGCATCCAGTTCTAAGGTATACGAACCATCATCTATTCCTCTAAGCATGTAGAAATCTTGCCTTTTCTATTTTTGAAACTGGTACTATTAAATCTCTCCTTTTCTTTTATACACAGCTTTTTTCTTTTTGATTGGTAAATGTAATTCATTAATTAGCACCAAGTAGGTGCTGTAAAGTATTTACAAGATTAAGTACCATTTCAGATTGTGTAAAGCATTTAAAAAGTCAACCATGGAATTTGTATCATTAGCAATATCCATGTTGCACCAAAATATTCTCGCATTCCTTTACCTCTAGACGATCCACCAAATCACTGAAGGGATGGTGTTCCATCTCATAGGAAACACCATCTCTTTGTCTTTCCTATTCGTTTTAGATGCATGCTCTATAGAAGCTTCTTTGTTATTGTCTGCGTGGTCCAATTGATTCCTAGAATTAAGAAAAAATCTCTAGATATATGAGGTGAATGATCAATGGAGAAATAACATCTTCATTATCCTTTTAACACAGGCAGCATCTACTGCATATATTTGTTGCCCTCTTTTTTGAAGGTTTTCATGTGTTTGGAGAGCTTCTTGGGCCACCAACCAGGTAAAGCATTTAACTTTAGTGGTTCCTTAGTCCTCCAGATACATTATCAAGGCCACTTCTCCACAACAGTTGGTCTTCAACTGTTGGTAGCATGATTTAACAGAAAACTTGCCTTAGAATCCCGTTCCACCTTTTAGAGTTATTCCTAGGAAAAAGGGAGGGGTCCTGTGCAGACTAAAAGTAATGAGCATAGGCTATTGGCTGTACATTTCTCAGTCATCTATATTGTGACTGAATACTATGTTCCAGCTTTGATCAGTCCAATAATCCGAGACTTTGTGCCATAGTGAATAAATTTAGGTACTGCTCTTTCAGATTTGACTGGCCAGACCGGATATCAAGCCATACCCTCACTTTTATGCCATCTTGTACTATTGAGGTCTTTGATTGAAAAGAGTCTCAATTAGCACTCTTATATCTCCATATACCACATGTGTTGGGGAAATATGACTGTACTGTGATCTAAGGATTGAGAGTCCATATTTAGTTACTATTACATCCCAAACAATACAAAAAGTTTCTATTACTTTCTTCCTAAAGCCCCTTCGTCGTGAAATCTCCAAAGCAATTTTGGTTGCAAGCTATTACTTTGAGCCCTCAAATCCTTGACGTCCTGTTCCCTGTCTTCATACCAGTAGTGATTGTTGCCCATTTTACAAAGATATAAATTTTTCCTTTCTCTACTCCCTTGACACAAAAAATCTCTTCTTTGTTTATCAATTCTTTTGCCATTGTAGCTAGCAAAGGAAACAAAAACATAGTGTTGGTGGGTAGGGGGCGTTGATTAGTTCAAGCCTACCCCAATGTGAGATACTTTCTCTGCCAACATGAAAACTTTTCACATTTCTCCATGGTGTTATTCCAATTACCAAATGTTGGTTGCTTTAGACGTATGACCAACTGATGATCAAGTCGGGGGAGGGTAAGGACAAAATCTTGGAGTTGGGGGAGAAGTTGGTGGCTCTAGAGCTTGGGGGATTAGCGTGGATGCAAATATATGTGACTTTGACATCTAATTGTATTAGGGAACCAGCTAGAGATGTGTTAGGTGTCTCGAAGGGTAATTTTTGGGGACATAAAGGGGGTTGGTGGTGGAATCGAGAGTCACGGGAAAGTGGAAGTCAATAAGGTTGCGTACATGAAGTTGGTGGGAAGCTAAAACAAAGACAAAAAGAGGACAAACATGGGAGGTATAAGATATTAAGAAGGAAGCAGGGTTGGCGGTTACGATAACAACATTTGGACACTTCTATGAAGAATTGGATGTCAAAGGTAGGGAAAATAAGTTGTATAGTGTTTCGAAAGGCGCTCGCCTTCTCGCCGAAGGCGAGGCCTTATCGTCTATTACGGGCGTGGTGATCCGATTTCAGAAAGGTGAGCAATGGCGGCCGAAAGGCAATGGGAGACAAGGCAAGGCGACAGGCATCACCTTTTTGTTTTTTGTCTTTTTAAAGGTCTGATTTAATAATTAAAAGGCAAAATTAGGATTTTCTGTTTTTTTTTTCCGAAAACCTGGGCTCCTCTTCTCTCCATTGTGACCTTCGCGATCCTCTTCTCCTCTTTCGTCACGACTCTCTGGCCTTTAAGAGGACGATACCTCAGCAGTCAGCTGCTCCTCAGACCTTCGCGAGTCGTGACTCTACTCAGGTACATTCTACGCTCCTCTTTTTTTCCTTCTCCTTCTCCTTCTCCCTCCGCTTCTTCTTCTCTTCTTCTCTTCTTCTTCTTCTTCTTCTCTTGTTCTATTCTCCTCTACTCTGTTTTTAGTGGCAGTGCTCTTTTTTTCTTTTTCATTTTGGAGCTACTAAATTGGTTGCCATTCTATTTTTGCCTTTTAGGTTTTATTTTAAAAATTCAATCCTTCTATATTTATTTCTGCCCTACTCAATTTAGTTTTATACTAATTTATATAGTATTTATTTGTCCATAAATAGTGAATTCAATGTGTCTTGATGCTAACAAAAAGGACATTGGATGGAATTATGGTATTCAAGGACCAACAAATATTTTAAGTTTTTGGTATTATGATATTTATATGTGCAATTAAATATTTTAAATTTTTGGTATTAATTGGCGCGTCAATTCAAAAAAGGCGAGCGCCGCACGCCTCGCCGTGAGGCAGGCCCTTATCGCCTTTTGCCGTCCAAAACACTGGTATAGGCTCACTAAGGTGAAAGAAAGAAGGGTTTGCGACCTAGATCTAATGAGATGCACTATAGACAAGGATGACAAAATATTGGTGGACCAAGCACCAGTGTTATCAAAAGCAAAAAGCGCAAAAAAACTCTAAGGTTTGTTGGGTCTTTAAGCACAAAATGCAAAGTGTTGGCTTTAATTAAAAAAAGCCACATAGGGAGGAAAACATATAAATATATACATTTAGTTCAAAACTAATAATTATAAGTAAAATGACCAATGTATGAGCGAAGAAATTGAAAAAAAGTTGCGATGCTCATTGGAAAGGATAAGTATGCCTTAGATACTTGATGGCGACATCGAAGCGCACATTAAGCGAGGCAAAATGCTCAACACGTTTTGAGCCTCACTTCAAGGCTTGTGCGACTTTGACTACACGGAGAGGCACACATTAAACTAAGATGATATGCTTACTTCCCACAACAACAACATACCCAGTGTAATCCCACAAGTGGGGTCTAGAGAAGGTGGAGTGTACGCAACCTTATCCTCTGCCTTGTAAAGGAGAGAAGTTGTTTCCGGTAGATCCTCACCTCAAGTAAAGCATATAAAAAAATTAACTATGTAAAGGAGAGAAGTTGTTTCCGGTAGACCCTCAACTCAAGTAAAACATATAAAAAAATTAACTATGTAAAGCAAACAGAGTCGAAGAAGCCATACTAAAAATAATGAAGAAAACGATAGCAATGATAAAACAATAAGATAACTGAATCAAAGGAATCAACAAAAAATACTAAAAAAAATCAAAGAATAAGATAGGAGAGTAATAATAACAATACTAAAAAGGAAAACTAGACAATGCTTGACTTACTAACCTTCTAACCTATTCCTTGACCTCCATATCTTCCTATCTAGGTTTTCTTCCTCGGTAAGCTGTATGTGATTTATGTCTTGTCTAATTATCTCTCCCTAGGACTTCTTGGGTCTACCTCTACCTCTCCTTATACCCACTACTATAGCCAACCTCTTACACCTCCTCATTAGGCATATATGGATCTTCTCTTCACATTTCCAAATCATCTAGTCTCCCTCATATTGTCCATCACGGGGGCCATCCCACTTTGTCTCAAGTAGCTTCGTTCCTGATCTTATCTCTCATAGTGTTCCCGCACATTCAGACATTCTTAAATGAAGGGGGGACATGAATATTGTGTTGGGTGATTTAGAGGACTCCGAGAGCCATCGAGATTTTGGGTTTTGCAGGTGGATTAAGTTTAAGGAGGTTATGGTGACAATTCACTAGATGAGAGGAGGAAGTGTGATTGAGCCAAGCAAGATCCCTTCAAAATTTTGGAATAATGCAGGCAAAGTGAGTTTGAATGGCTAACTAGGTTTAATATCATTTTTAGGACGACTAGAATGCCCAAAGAATGGAGGTAGAGTATAATGATCCTGTTGTACAAGAATAAGGGCGATATCCAAAATTGCAACAACTATAGGGGTATCAAATTACTAAGACACACTATGAAGATTTGGGAGAGGGTGATCGAGATGTGCATGAGGTACTATGTTTGAGAAGCAATTCAGATTCGAGCGATCGACAATGTAAAGGAGATTGTTGGAACAATATAGGATGAAGAAAAGAGACTTGCATATGGTGTTCATCAACCTTGAAAATACATACAACACAATCTCGAAAAAGGTTTTATGGAGATGCTTAGAGTCTAGAGCGGTACCTATGCCATAAATTAGAGTGATTAAGGTCATGTACGATAGAGTGAAGATACTAAAGAGGACTGTGGGATGAGACTTGGAATAGCCTCTTAGTTGAGATGGGGCTTCATCAGAGATAAACTATCAACCTATTTTTATTTGCCTTCGTGATGGATGAATCACCACAACATATTCAATAGGAAGTACCATGGTGCATATTATTTGTAAATGACATAGTATTGATCAATAAGACACATAACGAGGTAAATGGAGTGTCGCATGGAGTGCAAGTTTAGTGTCGCATAACATGAGGCGTATGGGGAAGTGAGGATTGATATACAAGTCATCCCCATCCCCAAGAGAGCAAGCTTTTAGTCTCTTGGGTCTATAATTTAAGGAAATGGTGCACACTGTATTGGAACCGGGGATGAAATGAAGACTCACATTCGATGTCCTATGTGATAAGAACATGTCACCGAAACTTGAAGTTATTTCCTATATAGTTGTTAGACTGACTATTTTGTACGGGGTGGAATGTTGGCTAGTCAAGAACTTTATTCAGAAGATGAAGGTAGCAAAAATGAGGATGCTTAGATGGATATGTGGGCATTCTAGAAGAGACAAGATTAGGAATGAAAATATACAGAGCAAGGTTGGAGTAGTCGTCGTAGTGGACAAAATGCAGGAGCGAGGCTGAGACGGTCATGTGAAGAGGAGGAACATAGATGTCCCAATGAGGTGCGAGAGATTGGCAGTGACGAGTTTGAGGAGAGATAGTGGTAGATCGATGAAGAATTGGAGGGGATGATTAGACCGGACAACTCTTTTCATCTCAGCGAAGACATGACCTTAGATAAGAGAACTTAAGGTCAAGGATTAGGATATACAATTATGAGGCAGTAAAGTGTTTTCCCATTTCATATTGGTAGAGTAGTGTTTGCTTCCAACAGACACGTAAGTGTACGTGGTCGTACAAGAATATAGAGACTCAAAAGAGTCGGATGTTGAACCCATATGCACCTGTGATTTAGCAATAATCTAGTTTAATCTAATACCACAAATTTAAGCAAGTGTTGAAGTGACCAAGAGAAGATTATGGTTGTTAATTCTATCTAACTTAAAATAAAGATTGAAAGCAATAAATTGGTTGTGATCACAATTTGAGAGAAATTCCAGGGTTACAACTCTGTTATGCAATCATGTAAAGTATTCAATTTCATTGACTTAGTTTATTCATCTAGATGTTGATCTACGGGGTTAATAATATGATCATGGTCTTTCGAGCTTATAATCGTCTATCCACATTTACCTCACAACTACATCATTTAGCGAAGATGTGATATCCAGCATGAATGTAACAATTGTCTTCTTGTTTTGTACCCAAGCAAGGCCTTCTAGGTACATATTCCTATCTTAGATGCAAATATGCTTTATTTTACTAAAGTAAAGCCTTACTCCTTATATTCTCCATTCCATCTCAATGATTCGTTTTCCAAGTTCACTATATTTATTTCAGTGGTAGCTAAGCATTAAAATAGTAAGCACAAGTTTATAAGAACAACTAATGATGATGAATAAACTTTGTCAACTCAATTATTTACTAAACAATCATCTATGGCCGTAACCCCAAAACAAGGGTATTTATCTACTCATAAAGAACAGAAAAAGTAGAGAGAAAGAACCCTAATGATGTGGTCAATTCTCCATCTCGTGGCTCCCAAAAAGTGATCAACCGCCCTAAAAATGTCCAAGGGTTATATTTATAGTAATGGAAAATAACCCTCAATTCTAGTTGGGTTTGGACTTGAACTTTGTAGAATATTTTTTTCAGATACACTGGTGTTGCGTGCCACCCAATGCCCTAGTCAGGCTAGTGTGTCACGCCATCAATGTGCTTTTTTCATCCTCTGAAGTTTGGGCTCTAGCATAGTGCGCCAAGTAGTGCTCAAATAAGGCTGGTGCGATGCACCAACCAATGCTCTAGCTTGCTTCATTCAGAATTCTTTCCAACTTCGATCCTAAGTTTCGACATTGCGTCTTTTGGATTTTTTGGGTGATTTTCTCCACCTTTTTTTTTATACCTGAAATGCATCTAATCACATATTTTAGTTATTATAAAAAATATCATGAATATGAACAAACACAAGGTTATTAAACAATTATGGTCCTCAAAACAAGATAAAACATGGGTTAAAAGTGGCAAAATGTGCGTAGAAATTTTCCCATATAAAGTAAGGTTCTATTGTGGAGCACCTATATGTTCCCTTACTAGTATTATTACTATTATGCTAGCATTATCTTATTCGTCGATTTTAATACTTTAATACTATTGTTGTTTCTTTTATTTTGGTTATCGGTAAGATATGTACTATTCCATACTTTTTTTCTTTCATATTTTCATTTTAATCTTTTAATCTTGCATTTCTGTCAAACCATTTTTCTGTAAAATGATTTTCTTGAGCCGAGACAACAACTACAACATACCCGGTGGAATCCCACAAGTGGGGTTGGGGCGAGAGTGTTTCGAAAACAACCGACCCACAAATTCAATAAAAATCTGAAATCTATTTTACTTCAAAAAACATATAACTTTTTATAATTGAATTTTGGTACTCACTACTCCCTTCCATAGTTTTTTGCTAAAATATGCAATTTCGATGAAATTATATTTAGTTTCTTAGTTAACTTTAATTTTAGTTTCAAAAAAAAGTTAATAGCTTTTTTCTTAATTTTTTAAATTTTTCTCATCTTTGTTAAATAAAATGGTGCCATTTTCTTTAACCATCTTATTTTTGGATATTATATTATTCACAAAAAAAAAAAAAAGTGCAACGAACAAATTGTTTGTTGTGCTTGATGCTGCTTACACTATCGGCTTTCACCATCATTCCCTACTTACTGATTGAATTGTTTGTTTTGGTTGCTTGAGACTTCGGGTCCAAGGAAGAAATACATTGTCTTTAGACTTGATGCTAATTACAGATTCATTTGGAATATTGTGTCTTTTCAGAGGTTCTTTCTCGTCATCTAATGTATATGGTTTGACCTACTGCAATTTACTTAGTTGTAACTTTAGGAAATGCCTTCTTGAAACAACAATGCTTTTCATGGCCTTCTGGAAAGTATGATAAGAGCATACAATTGGGTTAACATACACTCATTATTTCGCTTTTGACTTCCTTGAAGTATCATTATATATGACTTTCGGTCAGAGTACTTTACTAGCTTGGCTCACTGTATTCAGTTATGTCATGGAACAATGGAAATGTTTTTTACTCTCTGCGAGAAAATAAACAAAATTATCTTTAGCCTTTTTAATCCATTGTTCCCATGCAGGATAAGAAGAAAGCAGTTCCTGTTAAGGGACCGGAAGTCAAGAGAACTAGAAGGGACCGTGGCGAACTGGAAGATATCATGTTCAAGCTTTTTGAAAGACAACCTAATTGGACTTTGAAGCAGTTAGTACAAGAGACAGATCAACCTGCGGTATGTTGTCTGATCAGGATGCCTTTTCTGTTTTCAAATTCCTAGGTTATTTTTTTCGTTTTTTGGTCACACTTATTTTACTGGTTTTTTGGTTAATATTCATTGTTTTGTCTTGAGGTAAGTGTGGATTCACAGCTATAGCTCTTAGCATCCACGTCACATCACATAATTTTGCTTTCATGTTTTCTCAGATATGGACATTTTGCCCTCTTAGTGAGGGACGACAAAAGGAGAGGAAAAAATGATTATATTTCCTTTTGGTGCTGCTTGATTGTATTTCTCCTTGCGACATAATTTTGTATCTAATTATTTTACTTCTTTTGCAGCAATTTTTGAAAGAGATACTGAATGAGCTTTGTGTGTACAATAAAAGAGGAACAAACCAAGGAACATATGAATTGAAGCCAGAGTATAAGAAATCGGTGGAGGATACAGGTGCCGAATGAATTGTCCGGCTGTTTGAAAAGAAGAGTTTTAATAGAATTAGTGTCGTGAACGTTATACCTCTTTCACCAGTTGATAGGTGCTGTGGTATGTTGTCATTGTAAATCATGAATGGATGTAGAGCTATGTGATTGGAATATATATGGAACCCACTAAATTACAGTATTACACTATCTCAGTTTTTTATTTTCTGATTTCTACTTCTATTTTCTAATTGACTCCCCCACTTTTAAGTTGTGCATTTATGCTTAGAGAGTTCTCCATCGTTTCGATGCTGAGTTTCTTCGCTTCCCATCATTATGGAAGTGTAAAACTGAAATGCTATGTCTGCACTTCATTTCAAATGGAAATGGTGACAGTGCTATCTGCTGTCTCCAATCTTGTTGTGCTAGGAATTCGTTTCTGTTTTGTAGTGTGAGATGAATAGACTTCCCTTATGTTGTGAAGTGGTGGATAAATTTGAAATTGCCTTTGAATCAATGTTCTTCGTCTTTCTATATTTATTAACGTTGTCATTTTGTGGCAATTGTCAATGATGATTAGCTTTATGTGATTTGCATGCTCCCATACCTTTTAGACTAAAATAGTTGGTCAGACATTATACGATCAAACATATGCAGCAGCACATGTGCTCCTTGTAGACTGAAGCTTCTTTATATGTTCAGTAGTCTCAATCGAGTTGAATCTTAGCAAGTGCTTGTATCTTCTCCTATCTGGTCTATATTTTGCCTAGGCTGCCTTTTACTTTGATGCCAATTACAAGTGGACTCTCTCTCACATCCAGTCTAGATGCCTGTTAAAAATAAAAAGGAATATTATGCATAGAAGTTGAACTGACTTGTGAGTTTGGATGACCTTGTTGATGTTTTTCCAGTGTTGAACAATGTTTCAGGATTGTTGGTGTCACACCTCTATGGTGTTTTCCAGCATACAGGCTTATGTTTAAAGAGTGTGTTTTTAATTGATTGTGTCTACCTTATAGTGGACCACACAACCTGTAGATTAAAGCACTGTGTTGGATTCTTTGAAGAATAATGAATCCTTCATTCATAAAATTTCCGTGGTCAAAACATTCTTTCATGTTACTTCATTAGTAATAACATCACACATTGAAACTGGACTCTGGACTTTGAATACAATACAATGCCGTCTTTCAGTCTGGATTCACAATTTGCTAAACAACAAGTGTCTTTTGGTAATTGCATCTCTAGTTTCTGTAGTCTCCAGCATCTGTGTGTTTTGCCCTATTCATAATTTCCCCAGCATTAAATTTGAAAAAAGAAAAGCCACACAAAATGAACAATGGAAAATGACATTTTCTTGTGTCAAAAGGAATATTTTGTCACTTCCTTGAAAATTCAGCAACGTTATTAGGATGCTGTAACGTTGTGGGTTCATTTCCTTGCTGTCCCAATCCCACAAGGTGCGTGCGTGCGTGAAATAGTTTAGTTGGTACAATTCGAATTTCGAAAGTCAAACAATTTAACTTAAACTGTTAATTTATGCATGAAATTTTTATTTTTCTGAAATAAAATTTATATATCTGGAAATACATAAAAAATTACTACATGTCCAAATAATCAACAATTTCAAATATTTAAAAGATAAATGAAAATATTACGGACAAAAAAAGACTTATTTAATTCTTGAAATTCAAAATGTGCCATATAAATGAGACGCAGGGAGTGACAAGCTGCTAGTTTCCATATTAGTGCAAGCATTCATGCCGCAATCAAGGATCCTCTTTGCCTAAGCAAAAATTAAAAAAGTAGAAGCATCCCTCTAGCCTCTAGGTCTTATGAGTTCAAAATCTAGGATAGCAAAATCATGTATAAATTGTTTGAAAGTAAAGAGGGGGGGGGGGGGGGGAAT